AATTCTATCTTTTTTCCTCTTTTATTAAATGAAATTATCTTACAGAAGAACTTTCTCTCACCGGCCTGGGCTGTTAGGTTACTCTATTAGAAGAGACTTGTTCCCTGTTTTACATCCTCTCAGCTGCCTCATACCACAGCCACTGCTGAAGCAGCCTGCTTTATGCAGGTGTACCCTAACAGCACCTCTCCTCATGTACACTGCATACACCCCACGTTTTGCCGGAGTTCCTCTGACTCCATGAGTGTGGGATATCTGCCTCGCACTTACGTGACAGCTTAGAAGTGTCAGGGCCTACAGCAGAAAGTGGGAAACTTGGACCAATGGGAGATGAAAGCTGGTGAATAACTGTTCCTCTCTTGCATCAAGCTGACCATTATGAAGTATATCCTATGTGGCAAGTCAAAGAGTCCCAGAAGACTCAAGGCCTTATTGCCCACAGTGATGACTAACTTGAGAACACCCTCGTATTGACTTTCCCTATTTCACTCTCGTCATTCACTGCTGTTTCCTGAGATGGCTGTCCAAAATAAACTGCCTCAAAGTAAGCCCTTGTCTCAGGTTCAGCTTTCAAGGGTGTAAGCCTGGCTAAAACACCACTAAATATAATTCATACAGGAAAGGCGGGATAAATGCTGAGTTCTTTCATTATTTTGCAAATATTCAGAGTATTGCCCTACTTATATCTGATAGTGAACTCAAGGATTTATATATCAGTGAATTTCAATTAGTTGTGGTTTTTACTCTATTTTCATGCACAGATTGTCCCCTTTTCAGCCAGTGAGAGCTTCTTTATGCTGATCCCTTTGTCCCTTTAACCTAATATATTAAACTTTAGACTTCCTTGATTTCTAGCATAACGAGGTATTTCAGGCTCATTGTGTGCATTTCTTGCCCCAGACCTGATGGGTGCCATTCCTCCAAAGAGCCTCATTCCTTTTAATAAGGAATGATGTATTGAGATTACAATATGAATGCTAAAGATCACAAGAAGATTACTATTACTTCTAGGCTTTTTCAAGGGACAAAGCAAGTGGATGTTTCTTTTTTTCTTCAACTTGGGGGATATAAGAATTACTTTTTTAAGTGAAAAAATCACAAGTTCATATTATTTCTATTCTATTCTTCACTATTACCTGGATTCTACTTACTCTGAAAATCATCATTCCTATAGTATACAAGAATCGTTTGAAAGTAGTGGTATCTACATTTCCACTAGTAAAATGACTACCGACTAAAGTTTAAGATTTCTTTGTAGGTCTATTTATCCTGAGAACATATTCTACTATGTATTTTCCACTATGTGCAGTGATCACACTATTTTCTAAAGTCATTTAATTGTTTACTTGGTGTGGTTATCCCACCAATTTAATATATAGTTAGGACAGTTGCTTTGGTTGTTTTCAAATTTTAGGAATTACATTTTTCTTTTGAATTTAAAATTATTTTAAATATGTAAAATGTATACATGATTCTAAAGTCAAAACTATGTAGTCAAGGTGTACCCAGAGCAGTCTGCTTCCATGCCTTCCTCCCATCCCAAGATATGCAACTATATGAGATCTGTCCAGGAGGCATCCAACCATGTAATGTGAAAAATAGAGACATTTACTGAAGAAGATACAAGATACAAGAAACATAGTACATAGGACCATGACACTTCAGTCCCCTTCAAAGTAGGCATCTTGGGACTTCACATAGTTCTCCTAGTTGCTGCCCCATCGTATTTTCCTGAATCTCATTGACAATCTGAAGTCTCTTTCCTTTCAAAGGTGATTTTAATTTTGGGAAAAACCAGAAGTCACAGAGCACCAAATCTGGGCTGTAGGGGGGACTGAATCACCTGGGTGGTTTGATGTTTTGACAAAAACTCTTCACGAGACGTGATGCATGAGCCAGCACCTTGCTGTGATGAAGCTGCCAATCACCAGTTGCCCATAGCTGTGGCCTTTTGAATCATCTGAATAGTTTCCATGGAGGAATGTTCAAGCTTAATGCAAAAATTTGATGCAGATTCATTGCTCCACTTGCTCATTTTGAATGCAATGGTGAGATAGTGTACATGCTTACTTGACAGCGTCTATTGTCCTCACTGACTAGTACAGTGAAGTCATCATTGTTCAGGCATGAGCTTTCCAGTCCACTCTCCTTGGCTGTCAGGTTATGTAGATATCACACAAATTGTTCTCAATATTAACAACGGGTGGACTTTTTCCAGACAGACCTTGTATATTCATAGTTCACCTATCTTATATAAAAAGAGCATACTATACTGTTCTATACTTTTTTTTAAAAAAAATGTATTCTGGAGATCACTCCACATCATTTCATTTAAAAAATTTTTAATTTTTTTCCACATCATTTTAAAGAGATGGTCCTCATTCTTTTTCAGAGTCTCACAGTGTGTTTCATTGTATGGCTCTATCCTATTCACTAGTCCTCTACTTGTGGTTATTTGGTTTATTTCCAATCTTTTGTTATTACAAATAACACTGCAACGAATAACCTTGTGCATAAGTCATTTGTATTTTTGGATTTCTGGGTCAAAGGGTAAACGTATAACTGCATGTCATTTTCTAGGGATTATCCAACTCCTTCCCATAGGTGCTGTGCATCATTTTACATTCTCACTGGCAATTTGTGTTCCTGTTTTCCACAGCCTGCCAAACTAGTAGGTGGTCCAGCTTTTGGATTTTTGCTAATCTGATTACTTACCTCCTTATATCATTCTGCCTGAAGATATACCCGGAGGCTTTCATCTGCTTTTGGAAGAACTCTCTTAGCATAAACAATAGGTGATTGTGTTGACGGTGATAGAAGAAGGGTGGCGGCAGTGTCCCTATCTATTCCACTCACCTAATCATGGAAATGCCAAAGCCCAAAGCATTCACCATCCTTGTTAAGACCTTGTATTTCCAAAGGTTTCAGGTTTAGGTTTCCAGCCAAGGGGGTGGAAAAAGGACATGAGGTGTGACCTCACTTCTTTCTAAGGTCACTAGAAAGGACAGGAAGTGATGTCCACTGGTACTTTACCAGCTTCAGGATCTTGAGAAAGCTGGAGGAGGAACATCTTTTGTCAGTTTCCTGTCTTCCGAATAACCCCAATGTCAAACAGATGTCCTTGTCTATGGCTAGAGGTTTCCAGATGGTGGAATATCCACTCTTTAACCTGCATGTCTCCCCACCCAGGACCCTTTCTTTTGCTGCTTTGTGAAACTAAATGTCATGGCTGGAAATTTTTTTTCTTTAGTTTCTTCCATTTCCTTGTATCCTCATGGGTGATTCTGCCCCCCACTCAGGAGATGTTTTGGCAGTATCCTAAAACAAACCTGGTTGTCACAACTTGGAGAGGGTTACTACTGGCATCCAGTGAGTAGAGGCCAGGGATGTTGTTAAAAATCCTGCCACTCACAGGACAGCCACACCCCTCTTCCCACAGCAAAGAATTCTCTGGTTCAAGACGTGCATTGTGCCAAGGCTAAGAGACCCTACTCTATTTTTTTCTTCATGCTACACAAATTCACAGACATCCTCAAAATGACTACAGTCAGTGGCAGAGAAAGGGCAGGATCACAGATATTCCCTCTCCCTGCTCCTCTGAAAGTCACCAGCAATTCAGAAATCTATTCAGTCAAAGAGACTCTAAGGAGTTATATATTTATCTGGAAGATTAAAGAACAAATGCCATTTTAACCTTCTAAAAACTGATTATCATTAGGTATAATGCAACCTTTTAACTGTAAGTATAAAGTGATGATTATTTAAAATAAATGGAACCCAAAGTCCCATGAATAATCAAAAACTTGGTTAATAGAGTATGACCAGAGAATAATACCCTTGGCTTCTGTGGAGAAATTAAAGTACATGCTGTGAATTGGTATTAAGGAAATTACATGAAAAGTTAGTCTTGAGGTGATTTTGAAGAAACGGCCTCAGGTGCACAATATATCACATTCAGCCTTTATCTCTCCTTGTGTTTTCATGACTTCTTTCACCTTGGATAACCCAGGAGCTCAGGCTTTGGAACTTCTTGGAATGGTAAGGTATCTCACTCTCCACATTTATTTTCATCTAGAACAGACCTGAATTTTATTGCCAGGAGTTTGTTATCTCTTTCAAAGGAATTATTTTTGAACTTCAGTTTGCCTTACTTATGTTGTGGGCATGGGCTGTGCTTAAAACTTATGAGCATAATTCACTTTATCTATAATGTACCCCTGAAGAGTTATGCCTGAATTGAATGCTTGGCAATAAAATCAAATTTTTACTTTTTTGAAAGACTTTATTTATTTATTTTTACACAGATGGGAAGGGAGAGGGAAAGAGAGGGAAAAACATCAATGTGTGGTTGCCTCTCACACGCCCCCTACCGAGGACCTGGCCCAAAACCCAGGCATGTGCACGGTTTAGGAATCCAACCAGTGACACTTTAGTTCCCAGGCCAGCACTCAACCCACTGAGCCACACCAGCCAGAGCCAAATTTTTAAATCACAGGGAAATTTGCCATTCAAAGGGAGTCTGAGGCTATAACTTCTGCAGAGAAAAGCATCTTTTTTACAAAGTGAATAGTTTGCTCCTTTAAGTGCAGTTTTTAATGTAGCCCAAGTCTAGTTCAGTGTTATGCATGATGCTAATTTAAAATATATCATGAATTTGAAAAAGTTTTGAAAGTTGAAGAAAGTTTCGTAAGCTATTTTTAAGAGTGTAAAACTACATATAACAAGGGTTTTAACACTTGTTTGGAGTGATAAGAAAAAAATGCTAGACATACTTGAAAAAAGAATAGGTAGCATTATGCAAATGATAACCACATTGACAGCAACGAGGAAAAAAAGAATAGTTGGCAACTTGTTATTTTGAGAAACTGTAATGCTGTAGAGTATGGAGTCAGAAACCAAATTGCTTGTGCTCACACCCCTGCCTAGTGTGGCCTTAGGCAATTTATATGACTTGGCTGTGTCTCAGCCCCCTGATGAGAAACACGTAAAAAAACTAATATATTATCTATGTAATGGGGTTGTTTTGAGGATTAAGTGAACTAATACACGATCGATAATAAAGTATTAGGGTCAGAGGAACAGTTTTGAATACTGGATGGTGAGCATCATTCTAAAGAGGTGCCTCTCCGCACCCTTGTGGGAGGTACGGCTGCTTCCACCTGAGTTGCATACAGGGATCAAACGAGCCTCAGCGAGGCCAATGACTCGGGCACGGGCAGAGGACATTCCTTGGGAAAAGAACCGTATCGGCTGCGCCACGCCACCCTGGTTGGGAGCTGAGGACACGGGAGCTGAGGACACGAGAGCTGAGACCCCCGCATGACCTCTGTATCCCCACCTGCACCAAGCCACAGTTCCTGAAGCCCCGCAGCCGCAGCGGCCGCCATAACGTTGGTCCAAGACCACTGCCCGGGGCTGGCGACAGATAGCTACGAGAGGCTTTCCAGAGAAGGCGACCGACACTCTTCAGGGCGGACGGGGGGCCACAAAAAGAAACCCTTGTTCATGACATAAATATTTATACGTGCCCGCTCTGTGCGGGGTGCGGGGAATGCTCCGATGAATCGCACAAGGCTTAGACTCCAGGCGCTGGGGCAGCATTCTGAGCCCACGCAGATATTGCTACCATTCTGGACGTCTGCAGGCCAGGCCCCGGAGAGTGAGAGGAGCTGAGGTTTTTTTTGTTTTGTTTTGTTTTGTTTTTCCCCCCAACCTCGTCTTCCGGGATTCACCTCCAGAGCCAACGCCCCCTCGAGGCTTTCACGGCTTTACCGTAAAGTAGAGAACAGTCTTGGCTGCGGAACTGCCCGCCTTGGTCTTTACGGCAGGCCGCATTCCCAGCCTCTAAGTATGGCGCTCCCCATTTAGGCGTCGGTCGTGGTTTTTACCCCGCTGGCCGGTGGCAGTGCTGAGCTAAGGCAGTAATCTGTTTAGACAGGGCTGCAGAATACTGCAGTTAAAGTTCGTTTCTGATCACAGCTCTAGCAACCCACGAGCTTCTGAGGGTCAGGAGCTGCCACTTACTTCTAGTCCCTGAAAGTTCCTTCTCTGCCCCTGGTTTGTTACCCGGCGCTACGTCCGGATACTGAAGCCCCTGACATTCCCAGACTCAAACTATGAGCCTTCCGCAACTACTGTTGCGCTCGCCCCGTTATCTACGGGCCTCAGGTACCCCGTGTCACCTGTGGTGGTCCCAGTCCCTCGGCACCATCTCTTCGGTGGGCTCCTGGCGTGGTCAGTCCTCCAAGTCCCCGGCCTACTGGAACCAAGTGGTGTCAGAAGCGGAGAAGATCGTGGGCTATCCCACGTCCTTCATGAGCCTCCGCTGCCTGCTGAGCGACGAGCTCAGCAATATCGCTCTGCAGGTGCGGAAGCTGGTGGGAACTCAGCACCCTCTGCTTACCACAGTCAGGTGAGGTACTCCCCCCACCCCCCTCACAGTTGCACCCACTCGAGTACTTTTTCCTGACCCACACACCATTCCTGCCTCACTCAGATTGGCTTCTTGCTTACCTCTTCCTTTCCTCAGCCCTCTCAGACATTGGATGTTGTTTTTTCTCTAGTCTAGTCACCTTAACATTCTTCCTCTTTGCCCAGTTGAGCGGATGAGTGGTTGTCGTTTGAGAAAACACGTGTACTCTTTTTGCGTTTTTGCTTAATGAAAGTGAAGATGCCTCAGTGGTTTGTAGAGGAATTGAGTATGGATGTGGATTTGAGTCACTTGCTACAGATGATCTTTACGAAGTGGGATGGATTCATTTTCAATTCTGCGCTATTCAGAAGGCAATCTGTAGAAAGAATAGGGAGGGGGGAGGAAGAGGATAGTCTGAAGGTAGACAGTTCTCAATGAAGGTCCCAGGCTTGAAGTAGGAATTTATCCAGTCTGTAGTCATTATCCTCTTGGGATTTGTATCACTTATGCTGGACTACTGTGAAACCTGCCACTAAGATTTTAAGGACCATAACTTTTGCTTCCACTGAAAAATAAAAACTCACTTTATTTTTTTGCGAATACTTTCAAACATGCTGAAGAGTTGCAAGAATAAAAAAATACAACGAACACTTTAATCAGATTCACCTATAATGTATATACACACAAATATTTATATGTATATGCAAAATATTTATGCATACACACACATTTTTTTCTGAAACGTTCAAGGGTATATTGCATACCTCATGGTGATTTGCCCCTAAATTGAGTGTCATTGAGTGTTTCCTTAGCATTAGCATAGAATATTACTGACATAATTACATTAATCAACTTAGGCACATTTAATGTTGATACTTTTATTTAGTCTATCACTGATATTCCAATTGTGTTAATTGACCTAATAATGTCCTTTATAAAAGCATTCTTTCCTTTTCTAGTACAGGATCTAGTCTAAGGTCAGATGTCGCATGTAGTTGTTATGTCTCTTTAGTCTCCTTCAATCTTGAGGGACATTTCCACAGCTCTTCTTTGCTTTTATGACTAGAGCAGTGGTTCTCAAATGGGGCAGTTTTGCCTGCTGGGGAACATTTGGCAGTGTGTGGAGATATTGTCACATCTGGGATATGCTACTGACATTGAGTGGATAGAGGCCAGGGTGCTGTTAAACACTATATAATGCCTAGGACAGCCCCTAACAATGAAGAATTATGTACCCCATAATGTCAATAGTACCAGGATGGAGAAACCCTGGACAAAATTATCTTTTTTAATTTTTTAAAAAACTAAACTTTTATTTTGAGATAATTGTAGATTCACTTGGAATTGGAAGAAATAATACTGAGATATCCAGTGTATCTTTTAGCCAGTTTTTCCCAGCGGTTACATCTTACGCAACTATAGTACGATATCACAAACAGAATATTGGCATTGATACAGTTAAGATGCAGACCATTTCATCACTACAAGGATCCCACATGTTGCTCTTTCATGGCCACCTTCACTTCCCTTGCCCATCCCCTTGCTTTAATTTTTGAGACACCTGTAATTTGCTTCTTGCTACAAAAACAATAGTGGAGTGATTTTCTTTCTTGGCATTGTTCCTGGTTATCAAGAATGTCATCTTATGAGTGAGCTTCACTTGTACAATAGCAGAAATGTTAGTTCTCCAGAGATTCTAGATAATAGACACTCTACACACAGACACACACTTACTTTAAAGCTCAGTAATGGAACTAATGAGTTTATCACTCAGTTTGAGAGCAGTAACTTTACCAATCCTGTTGAAGCCGAGTACTCCCCAGTCCATCTCCCTGACCCCAAGTATACTAGATTTTGTGTTTTCATTTTTAAAAATGCATGAGTGTTTCTCTAAGTAATAGCATGTTTATTTACCCCCTTTTGAAATTTATTAATTTGGTAGTTTATTACATATAGTCTGTTATGACTTGCTCTTTTAATTCACCATTGTTTCTAAGATTCATCCATATTGAGTTTAACTGTACTTCATTAGCTTTTCACTGGTGTATAAAATCCTACTTTGTGAATATGCTAGTCTTCTTTCAGTCAGCTTTTGGGTTGTTTGTATTTTTTTGTATTCTGTAAATACAAAAATACTACTGGGAATATTCTTGTACATGCCGCCTGGTGTACTTGTCTTGAGAGAATAGATGCAGGAATATATGGCTCTAGTGGGTGATAATAAATTGTATTCTAGAGTGGTTGTACTGGTTTCACTCTCATGAGCAGTGTCTGAACTCAGGTTACTCCATGTTCTCAAAACACAAGAGTCATAAAGTTTCTTAAGTTTCGCTAATCAAATTGTGTGTGTGTGTGTGTGTGTGTGTGTGTGTGTGATGGGAATGGTAGTGTTAGCAGGAGTTGTAATATGTATTGTACATTGCATTGCACTTATTGTAGTCTCTATAGTAATAAGGCATGGAAGTGAAAGGGGCACTAAAAAGAGCCTTTTTAATGTGTATATTCTGAGAGTTACAATTTATCTATTTAGTTTCCAGACTATCAGATAGGGGTCTTGGAGAAGATCCCTTCTGAGGCTACCAGAAACACACTAGATAAAAAGCCTGTGAGACTAATGGCTTTGAAACTTCCCTGATTGTACCCTGTCCTGCATACTGCTTCTGTAATACAGTGAAAGAATGGAGAGGAACAAAATAAATGAGTTTCAGCAGACCTGTAGTAACATCTATGATTTGCTTTATTTTGTAAGAAAAGAAAGCTAATCTGCATATAGTTTTATTATTTATTTTGACAATATGCTGCAAATTATTTAAAGTCTGCACCCATAGGTAGCTGATGAGCAAAAATCTTTTGGGGAGGTATACACACACACACACACACACACACACACACACACAGGATGGGGAAAATAGGTTTATAGTTGTTCATATGGAAAATAATACAATAACTATAAATAATAATACAAGAATAAACTCTTTTGAACTCACAGCTATAAACCTACTTTTGCCCCAACCTGTGTAACTGTATACACTATATACTATGTATATATCTCTGTTTTAATGAAAAAGCTGGCATTTGATCCATAGAGTAGGCAGATTGTGGCTATTGTAAATTATAGCTAAAAACAGATTAGGCAGCTATATTACTTCACATTACTTCACTTTACTTTTTGACATTTTGTCAGCAAAACATTGATAATTAGGGAGGAAGATGCTCTCAGCATGTTAGCAAAAGGGCACAAAGACCAAGACCCCTTATGGCCACTATCCTCTTGGGATTTTAGGTAGGGCCAAAAACCGGATTTGTTAAATTTTTTACAGTCCTATTTTACGTTTTGAGTTTCTATTATCTACATAGATATGTTAGGGATCTACATAGTATGGGTAGATCTCTACATAGTATGTTAGGGATGAAACATATCCACTAGCCCTAAAATTTAGATGAGTAATGACATTTTTGGCAAACAGCAGGAAAAACTAAGGAAATCACCATAATGCATTATCTACTACCTTCTCTTTCTTTGTCTAAGCCATCTCATCAAGAAAAGGGAAAAATGCCTGGAAGTATACTCTTTTACAGTTTAATACAGAAGTGAGATTAAATTTCAAATCACGATTTAGTAAGATAATGAGTTTATTACTAGAAACAATGTAGCAATTTTTTACCCTCATTTTTACAGATTTTTTTGGATCTTTCTTATAGGCCCCAGTTAGAAAAATAATCCTCAATTAATTAATTCAATGTTTATTGAAGTTTATGGAGGAATATAAAAGAATATAAAACATGGTGTGTGTTAATGAGTAGATATTTTGTTGGATACCAATATACAGGGTGGGGCAAAAGTAGATTTACAGTCATTCATATGGAAAATAATATAATTAATATATAATAATACAGGAATAAACTCTCGCATACTCACAACTGTAAACCTACTTTTGCTGTACTCTGTGTTTACAAATACCTGACAGAAGTAAATGACTTATGGCTAATGAATAGAGCTATATTAGCTATTACATTTAGAAATCTAATTAAAGTAGCCTAGAATAGTGTAGGACCTTTCATGAAAAAATTGGGATGTCATTAGGATGGATAGGTAGAAATTACATGGGTGAAATTTTAGGGTGGTGGTGGTGGCAGTATACTACATATTTTTCCTTCATGGTTCTTTTTTCTCCTTTCTTCCTCAGGCTGTCATACCTCTATGAGGTATAGGGAGGACCTTAAAAGCAAGGATACACAATGAATAAAGCAAAATGAGCAGAGTGAATGGAGCTAGAATAGCTAAAACAATGTTAAAAAAGAAGATGTGAGGAATCATTCTACCTAATATTAAGTTTTATATATAACATTATTGATCAAGACAGTGTCATTTTAGCAGAGGAATAGAAAAGACAGATGGATGGAACAGAATAGAGAGCCCAGAACTTGGTCAATGCAAATATACCCAAGATTTTTGACAAAGGTGCAAAAGCAATTCAATGAAAGAATAGTCTTTTCAACATATTCATACAAAGAAATGCTGCTCAACAATGAAAAGAAATGAACAGTTCACACAACAACTTAGATGTATCTCAAAAGAATTATGCTGATTGAAAAAACTCAGTCTCATTTCTCAAAAAATTAAAAATGGAATTACCATATGATCCAACAGTTCTACTTTAGGATATACATCCAAAAGAATTGAAAGTAGGGTCTTGAAGAGAGATTTGTTCACCCATATTCATAGCAGGATTATTCACAACAGCTAGGAGGTGGAAGCAACCCAGATGTCCATCAGTGGGTCAACAAAATGTGGGATATACATATAATGGAATATTAGCCAGCTTCAAAAGGGAAGGAAATTCTGGCATATCTTACAACATGAATGAATCTTGAAGATATTATGCTACATGAAATAGACCAGTCACAAAAAGACAAATACTGCATAATTCCATTTATACAAGGTATTTAGAGTAGTCACATTCAGAGTGGTGGTCAGGGGCTGGAAGGAGAAGGAAATG